CTGAGTTTTATTCACTGAACAAATATTGGTAATCTCTCTCTTGATCGTTAGTGTTGCAAACCACCTATACCGGAAATTTTTTACGTCCAACCCCGGTTGGAGCTACTAGCTCCAACCAGCCAAATGGCAGACTACTATTGGTTCTTCCACCCCTTTTTTCCCCTTTATTTTTAATGCTTATATTATTGCTTTAAAATTAATAATATAAAAATACAATTTGACGGCAGCATAATTTTGATGGAACGACAACATAAAGCCGCACAGCTGTAATATATATGTTTGTGTATTTGATCATTGGAATCAAAAGCTGCAGTGGTATACTCTGGTTTATTTTATAATTAAGTGGACCTTCAAATGAGCTAGGTCATGCCTATTCATTGACTGGCTAATTGCTCTGCTCCTAGTCCTTGAATTTGCCATGCACGAGAAAGAAGTTTATTTTGTCATGCTTAGTAAAATCAATTAATCCATCAATTTTGGTAGAGTGCAAAGTATGATTGTCTTTCCAATATCAATCGACGAATTGACTAATTATAACAACTTTAACAAAAATCAGTATTCAATATCAAAATTTGATATATTAACTAAGTGAATACTTGATGACAAACAAAGTGAAAATGAACTACTTCTCAATAATTCATTGCAACAGAATTCTTATAGGAAAAACTCTCAAATGTCAACCATGGATTCCCCAAAAAAGGATTGAAACTCGTTCCAAATATTCAGATAAAGAAAACATGGAGAATATTCCATTGTGCTTGCTAAATAAATATTTTCACACTTTCGGATCATCATAATGAGAAATTGCTATTGCCTCCTGCAAAACAATGGCATCAATCAAAAGTATTAATAAATAGAATTATAGAACATACATAAAAGTATTTCTTGTTTTCTATACCTGTAACAATTGAGTATATGACATATTATTGGAATGTATTGTCAAGTCAAAGTGCTCTTCATGAATATATCCTGTTGGTCTAGTAATCGAACTTTGAGATTCATATTGCTCAATCACCACCTACAAAATTTGATATGTTTATCAATAAAACAAACATATTACACTTTTCTTCTACATAAATTAGGATAAGCTAAAACAATTACCTGACTGTTTTGACCATTAACTTCAGGATTACTGTAAACTTGTTGAGAAGAACTCGTTTTCAATTTTTTATCCTACACATATAATGTCATTTGAAACATAGTGATTACAATCAATATAACATAATAGCATTGTTTGAAAATGAGAAAAAGAAGAAAAAGAAAACCTGAAGCTGTCGACGGGAGTAAGCAACTGTCGAGGTTCTAAATAACAGTCATCAATAGCAAAGCGCGCATCCGCTAAACAACCTATAGTAGTCTGCCATTTAGTTACGAATCAAATCCAACGTACCTTACTTCCTGCAGCCGCTGGGGATTGAATTTTCTCAGCTGTGCGCCTTCTGCTTCTTCGTTCACGATTGGAGAAACCCTGAATCCAAAATTATAAGCTAATTAAATTATGTTGTCTTCCGTCAAAAGCCCTATTCCGTCAAAAGTATGCTGCCGTCAAATTGTATTTTTGATTTTATTAATTTTAAAGCAATAATATAAGCATTAAAAATAAAGGGGAAAAAGGGGGTGGAAGAACCAATAGTAGTCTGCCATTTGGCTGGTTGGAGCTAGTATCTCCAACTAGGGTTGGACGTAAAAATTTTCCACCTATACCCGTCGCTGAAATTTAGTTTACGAGGCTGAAAAAATTCTCACAGAAAATTTTCCTGTCCTGTATGATCTATTCTCGTCTTTTATTGATGTCAAGTAATATTTTATGCGATTATTACAAATAAATAATTTTCTTCTATATTACTAACTTATTCTTTTATTTTGATAATAATAATAATAATACGCAAAATAATGTCGGGCCCGATTTCTGAATACAGGCATGCTTTTATGGGTTATCTATAAAAAAGATAATGGAAAACAAAACGAGGAATTTTATAATATTATAAAGCATTGGCTTTAGTTTTTGTCTTTATAGTACAACTTAAAGTTGTACATTTAATGTTATGGTACAATTTCAAGTTGTACCTATACCCTTTTGTAAAATTCATTTATGGTACAAGTTAAAGTTGTACCTTTATGTTATGGTACAACTTGATCAAATTTTAATATAATACAACTTCAATTTGTACCTTTAACGTTATGGTATAACTTTAAGTTGTACTTTAAAATCCAATACTTTAATGAATAAATAGTAGAAGTGCAAACAAACAATATCAAATCCAAAACACCAAAACAAAAGAAACTCCAAAATCGTAGCACTATTTTTATTAATCCTCCCTACTAATTAAAACTCCAAAATCACCAAAGACGACAAAAAAAAAAAAACTCAAAATTACCGACTCCAACATTAGTCGGTCGTTATTACAACTTGATAATATAAATCAATTTTTTTTTTAATTCTAGCATTCATGTGAGCAAAAGCACTGCCTAGCTGGAGCATTTGGAATGTTGTAATCGACACAAACGCCGACGCCACCGTAACGAACCCGGCACAGGTCCCGGCAACTGGAATCCCCCGCTGAGCCGTCGGCGCAATCCCACGTCGCAGAACAGTCTTTTGCTTCCGCCGCCATCTTCACGCCACCTTATATTATTTATTTTTTTATTTCACACACAAATATAGATCTATTATATTAAACATATACATGCGCACGGAACAAATATAAAATATATAAGTAAATAAAAGGTTTCATAACCGAAACAAATAATCATATAGTATACGTGCACATGTAGAATTACATTAGTACGCACCTAAGGAGGTGAAGACGAGCAAAAAAGCGAGAAAGAAGCATAGCGTGAAAGACTTGCTCATCGCTTCAAAACACTCAAACTCGGAAAGGGAAAAGAGAAGTACTGATCAGTAGGTTTAATTCTGGTTTTGCTTTCTCGATTGTTTGATTAGGGACTTTGTTTAGGGTTTGCTATTTATAGGGTGAGCATTTCCGTACGTGAAAACAGTAAGATAAGGAAAGGGAGACGGACTAAGGAGAAATCAGAGAAATAATAAGGTAATTATGAGTTATGATGGTATATATTATAAAAAAAATCGGGGGTATAAGGCAATTTAAGGAAAATGGGTCGTTTGGAGATCAAGATTTGGATCATGACTTTATTGAATCTAGAGATTTAGAAAAATATTATATTTTGTTTTTTTGCTACTTTTTGCATCGTGGATTGTAGTTTGAGAGATTTAAAATCTCTCAAATCTAGAGATATCAAATCTCTCATAATTAGAGAGATTCTTCGTCTTGATTTTGGATCTTCTACTATATCTTTTTTTTTCATTTATCCCACAAAATACCCTTACCAATAAATTATTAATATTTTTCGAGCCAATCTAATTATTTTGGTTAATGATAAACATGTCATTTAATAAAAATAATAATTTTTTTTCATTGGATGTTAACAATGGTAGTTACCAAACAATAAACATTTTCAAATATTTTTTCAACAAATCAGAGAGTTAAAATCTTTGAATTGTCTAGCATCTATAGAGTGATACTGTAGTGGTATTGGCACAAAAAAATTGATTGGATATTTTAAAAATATCATTTCATAAATCACAATACGATCATTCTAAGTAATTTTCTCAAAATTTGGAAATAGGGAAAATAAATAAATAAACACTTTTAATACAAAATTATCACCAAATGCTTGGCGGAGCGACTCAAGCCACTGATGCCCAAACTTGTGCACGAGACTCAAACAAGCTTTATACCAGAGAGGCATATAACTGATAATATTTGTATTTTGCAGGAAGTATTCCACTCTATGCGGGCAAAGACATGACGAAAGGGATAGATGGCGATCAAGGTGGACTTGGCAAAAGCTTATGACCGCATCCGGTGGAGTTTTGTCCGGGATACGCTCCAGGCAGCAGGGCTCCCTTCCTCGTTCACGAAACTCACTATGCATTGTATATCGTCTGCAAAAATGCGAATCCAATGGAACAGAGGACTGACAAAGTGTTTATGCCATCCGGAGGGTTACGCCAGGGTTGCCCACTCTCCCCGTACATTTTCACCTTATAGATACCTGGGGGTGCCGGTGATTCACGATCGAGTTTCAAAAGCCACCTTCCAGGAGCTGATTGACAAGATTGATTCCCGACTTGCAGGCTGGAAAGTTTCGACTCTCTCCCTTGCAGGTCGCATCACGTTGGCTCAATCGGTTCTTTCGTCCCTACTGGCCTATACAATGCAGACCACTCTCTTACCGGCTAGTGTTCGAGACTATATTGACAGGAAGATGAGAGCATTTATTTGGGGCAGTTCGGAAGCAGGTCTCAAAATCCACCTCCTGGATTGGCAGACTCTTTGCCAACCGAATGATGAATGCGGATTGGACATGAGAGATGCGACAAAAATGAATAATGCATTTATGCTTAAAATTGCCTGGGGATTAACGCAGAAGGCTGACAGTCTGTGGGCACAGGTCATCAAGAGCAAGTATATGAGACAGGAAGGGGAGTGTGCTAGACCAAGAACTTCAGGCTGTTTGTCAAACCTTTGGCGTGGAGTGCTCCGAGTTCTACACCTTTTATTAGCGGCCACCATGTGGAATGTTAGGAGTGGTAGACAAGCAAGATTTTGGCTCGATAGATGGTTACAATAAGGCCCTCACCTGCCCGAGCTAGCGGCTAACCTTCCAAGTGAAGCGAGATCCCTCACGGTGGCGGATATGGTTCTAAATAACAACTGGAACTTGGCCTACCTCTGCACGTTCTTTCACCCGAGTGTAGCGGAGCAGATTCAGCTACATGAGATCCCTAGAGAAGCTGCCCAGGATGAACCGATATGCCATTTCTAGGCAAATGGCCGATTCTCACTGAAGACGACATACGAACTGATAAATGAGGAAGAAACACCGCCAGCTAGCAACCGATGTGGAGAACATTATGGAAGATACTAACCACCTAGAGAATCCGCACCTTTTTTTGGCTTTCGTCTCATGGCAGACTCCTCACTAACGCCGAGAGGCAGCGACGACACTTGTCTGAGTCGGATGTATGTCCGGTGTGCGATAACAGCAGTGAGAATACCTTACATGTCTTGAGGGAATGCTCCAATGCTAGGGCGGTCTGGTCCAATTTCTTGGAGGATGAACCAGACGATTCTTTCTTTCGAGAGGATGCCAATGCTTGGATGATGCACTATTTCACGAGTGAAGCCGGTGCTATATGTTGTAGTTTGTTGGTTGTTGTGGAAGAATAGGAACTCTCACGTGTTTGAAAATAAGTTGGGTGAGGTCCAAGCTATCCACCGTAATGCAATGAGGCTGAGTCGTCAAATGGAGGAATCCTTCGAGAAAGTACAGGCCCCTCTCGGCAAGGAGCAGAACAAGATGTACAAGTGGGTCGGGTAGAAAACACCGCAGGCAGGGTGGCATTGTGTCAACACAGAAGACTCGGTCTCATTACCGATGCAAAGCTCGACAGCGGGTGTTGTTCGAGATGAAGATGGGCATTTCTTGGGGGGCTTCACAATGAATCTCAGAAGGGGTTCGATAACAAGGGCTAAGTTGATGGGGATCTTGCAGGGCTTGAGGTGTGTCCGGGAGTTGGGTGTTCGAAAAGTGGAGCTGCAGACGGATTCTCAAACTGCGCTGGATCTGGTGGACAAGGCGCTGCCCTCGCATCCACATTTTCATCTCGTCATGCAGATTAGGAGGATCCTGGATCGCGAGTGGGAGGTTCGGATGGGACACATTTACAGGGAGGGAAACGTAGTCGCCGACTACTTAACCTCGACTGGCCATCACAAACCGCTAGGCATTCATCTAGTCTTTAGCCCTTGTGCTTCCTTGAGTCATTGGTTGTTGTTCGATCTTGTAGGGAGCAGTACTCCCAGATTTGTCTCGTGATTGTTTTGTTGGGTGCTTTAGCACCCGTTGACTACCAAAAAAAAAAAATATTACCCTTTACATGTGATACCAATAAAAATTGGACAGATTTGGTATTATACAAAGAAGATACAGGCAGATCAAAATAAGTAGAGTGCTAACAATAAGGCTGGCTCCAACCCAGTGAGCAAAAAAAGCCAAAGCGTCGTATATAGCTTTTTTTTTTCTTACTCCAACCCACAAAAGAAGGGGGGGGGGGGAGTAAAATATGGGTATTGGAGTTTTGGGAAGGAAAGCTTTTTATGGCTAGGCAAAAGTGGATCACCCCACCACATGGGACGAACAGACGCGGGTGCATGGGAGGAAGCAACCACACTGCCCGCGTCTGTCTGTCCCATATGGCAGGCGGATCCCTTTTATTTTAATTTTTTCCCTCTCTTTCCTCATTTGTGATTGGTTGTTGTTTTGTTGGTGTGTGATTTAAATGAGAACAATTAATGTATTGACAAAGCAACGACCACTTTGCAACGGTCATATTTTAACGGCCATAAAAAATTGTCATAAAAACGGTCATATTTTTTTAAATATTTTAAAGCACTCTTCATAGAATTATCTTCACTCATTCTTAGAGCTTAAATCACATTCTCTCAAAATTCAATTTTTATCATCTCTGTAAACAGAAAAATGGCAGGCAAGAGAGGAGCCAATTGGCGACCGAATGAAGATGAAATCTTTTGCAGAGCTAGGGTGTCGATATCAGAAGATGGAGCGGTTGACACAAACCAAAAGTCTGCAAGGTTGTGGGAAAGAGTGACGACAAAACATAAAAAATGGGATCCTATTACAACTCGTACTACGGTTGCAATGGAATCCCAAATGGGGATTATCACATATCACTGCAATGCTTGGAAGTGAGTTTTGCAAAGAGCACGAAGGCATCCTGCACAAACCAAAATGATGTGGTATTCTTTTGGACCCTTAACTTGTTATTTTCGTATTTTTTCTATGTACTTTGACTTCTCTAACCCATGTACTAATTTTTTAACATGAAAAGGATAAAATATCAACATATAAGCAGGAGAATGGGTACAAAGCTTTTGCTTTTGAGCATTGTTTTGACATTCTACGAAATTGTCCAAAATGGTACTGCAATCCTGAACTCATTGTTGATCTCATTCCACCTATGGGGCAAGGTTCCCAAAGTTCTCCCACAGGTGTTGGTTCTCAATCCGCTCCCGTGGAAGGCCTTGATAACTTACCAGATGAAGGATCTAGGCCTTTCGTGTTGACTCTCCCTAAAGGAAGCAACAAACAAAAGGCAGTAAAGAAGAGAGGTAAGGAAGTTGCTGAATCGTCAGACATATACACTACTCAACTGCTAGAGTTTGGTAATGATATGAGAGAGAGGTAAAAGTCAAGGATGGATTACGAAAATAGAAAAATGAATGCTTAGAAGAGAAGACTAGAGCAGGAGAAAGAGGAATGGGCATGCAAGAGAGAAGTGAGGGAGCGTGAAGTAGAAAAGTGGGTTGTTGAGAAGAAAGAGAGGAAATCGACTATACTTCATCAAAATGTGGCTATTATGGAGAAGGATTTATCAAGGCTGACACCAAGAAAGTAGAGATGATGGAGGCGTAAACAGAATGCCATCTTGTGGTACGATCAAGATGATCCCACCTCTAATCCAAGTGATGGTGAAGATGGGGATGAAAGTGGTGGAGGAGATGGAGATGACAGTGGAGGTTATTATTTTGATGTCATAGATTATAATTAGAAGAAGGACTATGTGTACTCTATTGTTTTTACTGCTTTAATGTGTTGTGTGTTGTCTTTGAGTTTTGTTGTTTTCATGTGCTATGTGTACTCTTTGAACTTTGAGTTCATGTGTAATAAAAACTAGTGTTATTAAAATTTTGAACTAAGTACTATTCACATTTATTTGAAACATGAAACACAGTCACACACCGAAAAGTGAATTACAAACTACCAAGCACCATGAAGTAAAATTAATATTGAAACATGCAATACAATCTACAAGTAAACAAGACTAGTTATTGGCATGCAAATTCCAAAGATGCTCAACCAAATTGATTCGGGCTCAATTGTACACTTTTTATCCCCAGTTTCCTTAGTCATTTGAGGAATTTTTACTCCGAGAGGTTTGGTTTTACGCTGGGTTTTGTCTCGATTTTGTGCATTTTAGTCTATAGTAGGTGGAACGAACCCCGTAGTAAAAAGTTGGACGAAAAGACGAAAAATTGGGGCAAAGGATGGAGGCAGTCGAAGATCACGGTGGAAATCATTAGTTCACGGTCATGGCGACCGTGAACTGGATCTGCACGCCGTGAACATTAAGGCGTTCTGGGACATTTTTGCTTTCACTGGACTCAAGCGAGTTCACGGTCGTAAGACCGTGAACCCAAGTCGCAGACCGTGAACTAAATTATTGAGATGACGCGTTTTAGCCTGAGATCACTGTCCACATCTTGAGTTCACGGCCGTGAACTGGGACCGTGATGTGAGCTTGACCTGGGTATAAAAGGGGGGTTGAGCCGAAAGAGAAAAGGGGGAGGGGTGGGGGGGGGGGGGGGGGAGAGACCTAGTGTGAGATTGAATGATTTCTAGAGTGAAAGTGACTAACCAAAGAAGAGAAGAAGCTAGAGTTTCATCTTCAAGCAAGGATTTGGGAACTCCTTCCCTAAAGGAGGATCTGTTCAACACAAGGAGCAAGGCTAGCATCTCCATGATGGTTTTCCTTCTTCTCTATTGTGTTTTCCCTTCTCCTAGCATGGAATAGTCCCTTATTTCACTTGGATGTATGTAAACCCTATGTACAATTATGTGAATGTTTGTGCGGATTGAATGATTTGTGTGTGGATGTGTTTTAATTTGAATTTGGAGGTATTTTCATGAAAGATTGTGTTGTGTGTTTGCCTATCAATCTATTTGTCATTCTAACCGAGGTAGAGAGAACCCCCCTTTTTTTAAAGAGACTTGTAAAGCTGGGTTTTCTTAGGAAAATCTTGTCTCCTGCCTAGGTTAATGTAGGGAAACCCTCTTTGTTCATATTAGCACCTAGAGTTGGTTGTACTTTGGCCGTTTGAACTCCGATTAGAGGGTGAAGAATGGGCAACCCTTGGTCAATAGGTAAAGAGAGCTACTTTGGTAGCTTGAATTGAATTCCCTTGACCTAGAGACCGGGAGAGTGGCGTTTGGATACTTGTTGCACTTCCCTACAGTTTGCAACCACCTTACCACACGTGACCATTCTATCCGATAAGTCATAATTGCTAGCTAGGGGGAGCAACACCTAGGTGAAGCCTTCTCAATTAATGTCAAATCCATTTACTTTTCTAAACGTTTTAGCTATAGATCGTTGTTTTCGCCAAAAAAAAAAATCCAATCGCTAGATAATGTTACAAACAATCGAAGTAGGGGTACATGAACCGACCCGAGTAGACATTTAAACATACTTGCCCTGTACTGCACCCAATTGATGTTTATACTTGGGCCTTAATTGGGAGTTTTATTGTGATATTCGGGACGAGTCACAAATCGTTTCAAAGCACATGATGTATAGTTGAGGAGCGAAGCCTGTTATTTTTAGCCAAGTAATTAACCAGAGTTGGAAGGTGTCAGTTGATTGCTTGAGGTTGTTCACAGACCTCATAATCAAGGTCATCATCCATCTCATCGTTAGAATCAACTTGCTCATCCTCGATTATCATGTTGTGTAATATAATGCACGTCAACATTATATTATTAAGTGTGACAACATCCCAAGCTCTTGCAGGGCCACGAACAAAATCCCATATTGTTTGGAGGATTCCAAATGTCTACTCTACGTCTTTGTGGTGTGCTTCTTGATGTTGAGCAAACAAAGCCTCTTTCTTTGACCTTGGATTGCTGAAGGTCTTCACTAAAGTCGACCATGAGGGATAAATATCGTCAGCCAAATAATAACATTGTGTAAGCATGACCATTTACCTCAAATCGTACATGTGGAGCGCTTCCATTGACGATATGATCAAACACTGGAGACATCCCTAGAACTTTTATATCGTTGTTTGATCCAGGTGATCCAAAGAAAGCATGTCATATCCATGTGTTGTAAGGGGGGCACCACCTCCAGAATGATTGTTGGCCTATGCATGTGGCCGGTGTATTGTCATACCCAACCACTTGGACAATTCCTTCATTCCCAATGCAAGGAGTCAATTGATCCAATCATTCTAGGAAAGCCACGAATCGAGGCTTTATGGAGCAAGATCCTTAAATCAACAGGAGTAGGTGCACGAAGGTATGTGGCATCATACATGTTGATAAAGTTATTGCAAAACTTTCTGAAGATGTCCATCAAGGTGCTCTCACCCATACGAACATACTCATCAAGTTGATTAGTGGGAGAACCATATGCTAGCATGTGCATTGCACCAGTAAGCTTTTACTCTAGAGATAGTGATAATTGACCAAAGCTATCACTCCTTAGAGAAAATGAGGAGTCAAACCTCACAATGTCGCCC